TTTTGCCCCGCATTCTGGCGAAGAGACATCAACATAAATTTATTTTCTTTTGCGTGTATTTATAGACTAACCACTCTACCAAGATTTAACAATTTCAGCTTCCTGTTCGGATAGTGCTATTATATAACAAGATATAAATAACAAGCTAAGTATATATATACACTTGTATATAGTTTGTATCTTTGCGTTGATTATACATTACTAAAAGTTCGACGTGTTTCAGTCATAGAGGATCAACATGACGGGCTGTACCATATTGTGGCATGACGCCAAAAGTAGAATAGCAAAGTCAGAATATATGCTCATTGCTAGGCAACGACTCGGTAAACAAATTTCCGCGGTAACTAATACTCAATCAACAATAGAGTAAATTCCGTTGCTATTCAACAGCGCCGTAGACACGCCTTACCAATAATGTGAGCTTGGAAGCAGAGGAATAGAATTGAGAGAGTCGGAAGTCGAAGGTGGTTGAGAAATGGCCAGAATGGAATTAGACTGCGCAAAGAAGACTGCATTGGTTACGTGAAGTTACAGTGAAACTGTTATAAATCCGTTGCCAGGATACGACTAGTGAAGACTGAGAACCCCAGTGCGTGTGTAACGGTTAACTGTAAATTGTGTAGATCAGCGATAGCGCTGTATTGCTGCAGTCCCGAGCTGTATGAATTAGGTGTCAGTAAATCCAGTCATCCAATACAAAACCCTTCTTATAAGTCATGCGTACTCGCTATATGTGACAACGTTGATTTGAAACTTTCCCATTCCTATATATAAAAAAAATATTTCAAATATCCGTGTCAGAAATTTATTATAAGACGCTAAAACAGTTGTTGTTTTAAAATTTATAGGTATAGGCCTCAGTTTGGGGCACGCGGTAGGTACTACGTTACAAGTCGTAAGGTCGCGGGTTCGATTCCTGATGAGGTCATTGAATTTTTTTTAATTGAACTAATCCTTCCAGCTGCACTATGGCCCTAGGGTCGGCTCGGTCTCTAACAGAAAAGAGTTCCAAGTGTCTTCCTGAGGTGTAAAGGGCGGCTGGCGCGTAAGGCTGACAACCTCACCGCCATCTGTGAGCCGATTGTCTAGAAAATGTTGGAACCTCGACTTCTCACAACCATATTGGCCTCCACGGCCTTTTTATAGTGATCGCTTTACCTTTTTTATAGGTCTCAGTTGTAGCAATTCGCTTGATTACTGATAGACGTGCGGCTTTGTTTCTGTTTTTTATGCGTCGAAGAGATGTAACAGTACCTATCAGTCTCGTTCTTAGAAGCTGAAATGTTGAACTAGATACATTAAGATCGCAATTTACTCTTGTTCTAAAATTGTAAGTAGGCGCTATGTCGAGAAAATAAATTCTAGGATAGGACCACTTTAGAACTGTGCCTGACCATATCACTCCCTACACATGACAATCCCATCCCATCGTAGCTAGTTGCTTACTAAATAACATAAGCGTTGTCAATAACTGAATACGGAAATAACGGCCATGTTGACGTTTTGCGGAACTGGCAGTGTTCTGCCGCGGCCAGTCCGTCACTGAGCAGTTTCCAGAACGAAGTACCATTCAGTCTGCAGCGGCTCATAGCGCAGGAGCATACCAATGAGGCTGCAGCTATACACTACGCTGAGAGATGATTTGTGTATCCCATAGCTTGAGAGACGTACCTACCCTCGCGCCGCGATATTTTGCACCCCCCAAGACTTTTCCACCCCTCCCATTCTAACTCCCCCATACACAGGTAAGCAAGTACAAAGTGAGAATGGTGAATGTGCTTATGAAGAGGGCTGCTACTGAGCTGCCGAGAATACGTCATCACTAGACGCCCCGTGTCAGAATATTATTTTGCTTCTGTATGATTACATTACCATTCTAAACGTTCTATATGATTCCATGGAGATCCGAGCGCATGCACCGTGGGATTTCTGGTTCGAAACCCGTTTGATGTGTGCCTATCCGCTTTTTAATTTTTTTACCTGAGGTGATAAAGGCCTTAGCTATAACTAAACATGTACCCTCTTGTCTGAACGAGAATCTATCAATTTTTGACCTTACCATCCTGTTGTGTTAGAGCTATCAGCACAGTTAACTAGCGTCACGAGTGTTATCAATCGTAGCCGCTACATATTAGACGTGCCATCTTGACGCGGTATCTTCTGATCATTGGTATGTAAGTGTGTATACCACCTGAAGATGACGCCGAAACAGGGTCGTGATATGTAAAGCGTAAGAGAAAGAGCACTATTAATACTAGATAGTTATGTTGATGTTACTTCAAAATTGGACCTAGAAATCCTCTTGACTCTAGGCCAAAAAGAAGAAAATGAAAATTGCATCGTGCTATTCTGGTGACAGTGCATTATAAATATAAATTACTGTACATTCACTGGGATCCTAATTTTGCATCACGCTTGGGATTTATTTGTTTGTATTCTCTTCTAAATAGTAATGCGGTAAAAAAGTAAAGCTATTATTCCTGTAATAGGTCGTGAGACCTTTTTTTCTAGACAATCGGCTCACAGATGCCGGTAAAGTTGTCAGCCTTACGCGCTGGCCGCCTTTTACTACCCCAGGAAGATTCCTGATACTCATTTCTGTTAGTGGCTGAGTCGACCCCAGGACCATAATTCGACTGGAAGGAATATGTCAATTGAAAAATCCACCTCATCGGGACTCGAACCCACGACCTTTCGGCTTGTAGCACAGTGCCTCAACTAACTATGCAACCGTGTGCCCCGGATAGCAACATGATGCGTAAGAAATGTGTTTTGCCTTCATTACCACAGTTTTACAAGAAAATAGGTTTGTTATAATCTTTCTTTACGTGCAGTAATTTTATGGGTTGTGTAGTAAATATTTACCCTACAAATTAAGCATCTTCCTCTTTGGCCCTTTAAGGACAAGCTACAAGTGGGTACCGGCTTCAGCCACAGCTTTGTGATATCTAGCAGTATGTGTTCTTCGTGGATGATTTGAAAATGGATTCAGATAATCTATGCATTGATCTTATATCTAAATGTTCTATAAAATTTAATACGTAAATTTTTTGGCCTCTTACCCGCAGGACTTCTCATGCATCAGTCGTTTTGTAATCGACGAATAATAGTTCTTAAATTTCATTTTGAATGAGCAGTCTCTTTCTTTCACGTATCTTTGTGAAAATTCGGGGTGCGAAACAGCAGCAAATCTTGTTTTAGGACATCACATTGAAAATTCTTTCTATTCTTCTTACCTCTTCCCTATTACAATCCTGATTTATTTAATTATTTTAATATTTTTTAACACTTACACATATAGATTAATATTAAGGTATTTGCTTTCTATTTCCTCAACGAAATTGAATGAATTCCTGTCGTTATAATTTAAATACGGGGCAGGTACTGGAATATTGTCTTCAGTGACAAAACTCAATGGAAGAGAATATTAATCCTATATAGATAAGCCTTTATATTTCTTTATAGATATTTTATGATTATAAACTTTATTAATTATATCAATTTCATTCACAGGCCTTCGAAAGCATACTCTTTATGATTCTGACGATGGTGTATAACACACTGATATATTGGGTTTCTGGACTTTATNTTCACCTGAGGACGGAAACAGATCCAGTTTCCGAAACGACGTGTTTTTATTTGTTATCTTAAAAACCAGGACAATGGATAAAGTCCAGAAACCCAATATATCATACTCTTTATGTCGTAAATACCCATACAATCGTTTTTCAAGCGATTTTTTGTTACTACGACTGAAACTCCAGACTTTTCCTTTATTATGCAATTTAATGATCTCGCAGTATTATTATTATGTAATAGTACCTAGCCCCATTACATTTATTGTACAAAAGAGGGACTTTTATTACATAATGTTGCGCACAGCCCTCTGATTGCATAAATGTGCGGAAGACAGGCTACGGATTTCTTATTCTTTCTTATTTTCTTATTTTATTGTAAATTCGGAAGTTGTCGCGGTGACAAACTGTGGTCTTCTGGGTTCTGACATCGTTGATTCTCTAGGCGAATACTGATTTTTTGGAAGAATATATTGCCTCCATCTCCCGTGTCGAAGTGTGTAAGGTGATTGATTAATTTCAGAAGGAATTTTGGTCAGTCAGGCCTGTGGGAGGGTATAAGGAAAACTAGCGCCGTAAGGCCTAGTACGGACGGTAGAAAAGAAAACTGCTCTTTATGGCCCCGAAAAGGACCTCTCTTCCTGTGTGCAGTTTTTATTGGCCTGCATTGGGCTTCATTTTCTCACCTCCTTCCGTGGGTGTGACACCTTGTCTAATTCCTTCCTCTTTACACAAGAAATTTCTCACCGTAAGCATGTCATTCCGAAACGTCGGAATTCGCCTGCAAGGCTACATGTTATCACAACCAAGAAGACCATAACCTGACGAAATTATAATAATCGTATTTTCAAACAAGCAAAATATATAAGCAGGTCCAAGTTTCTTCACAGGGTAATTTAAAATTCCTTATTTTTTATTCATGTAATACAATACACTATGCATTTGTTTCATGAAATATAACACGCGATTATTTTATGCAAATTAACGACCACTTCGTTCTGTGTAATCTAAAACTCAAATATTTTTTGCCCAATTTGTTAGGTAAAGACTTTCCATTAAAAGAAAAATTAAGTAGTTAACAAATTTTTAAGATTAAATTGTCACAAATTAGCGTAGTATATGATTTTGACAGTTAATAGAAATGGTTTCTCAAACGTCATTCCATGTTACCCATTGGTTGCAAAGATTCTCTTTGTTTCTCATGTGATAATGAGTGGGAAGAGCATAAATGAACACCTCCACTAATATCTGTGAGAAAGGCGAGCACTGAATGCTTCTATACAGTGATATAGAAATATTCAGACCGGAAGATTTGATTATATAGAGAATGGGCTTCATATTTTCTTGAAGTGGATAAATTCTTACAGGAAAGCTATTGCACTCATACAGTCAATGAGAGAAGTAATGAAATCATTGTTCACGTACAGTACATACCTTCGGCTGGGTCTAGCCGCTTCGCTCTGCGGCCATGTTTGGAGTTATTGTGGACAAACATATTGTCCGAAATGGCTAGAAGTGGTCCATCCACTCCAACTTGCGTTGATATAACAACCTGTAAGTGAAGTAAATCAAATCATGGTACAGAAAGAATACATTTAATACTTAAAGGAACTTACTTACTTACTTACTCACGGAGCTGAGCCCTTCTGGAGGAGCCGCCAATTCTGCAGCTACTCAAGAATTTCCCAGCATTTTATGGAACCCGAAAGTTCATTACCGTGTTCACAAGAGCCCTCCACTGGTCTCTATCCTGAGCCAGATAAATCCAATCAATAGCATCCCATCCTATTTCTCTAAGATCCATTTTAATATTGTCCACCCACATACGCCTTGGTCTTCCCAGTGGTCCCTTTCCTTCTGGCTTTCCCACCAATATCCTATACACATTCCTCGTCTCCCCCATTCGTTCTACATGCCCTGCCCACCTCATATTCCTTGACTCGATACTTAAAGGCACAGCCATACAAAATATAAGAATATTCAGTTAATCATTTAAGTACTGAAATTCTTCTAAATAATGTAAAAAGTCATTTCGTGTCTCGCAAGAAATACACGTATATCACATGTCAGTTAAAGATAAGAACTGATTAACGATGTTTACAGAAACACTCGCTGTTTATTGTAAGAACCGTACGAAACATATAAATGCACTCTGTGGGCATAAAGCAGAACACTAATGTGTTAAAGCTGATGGTACATATAGAAACACTAGGCTTTACCGGTTTAATATCGGTACAGTAAATATTTCTTGAGGCGATATCATTTTAGTAATATCAACAAGATTGGATTAACACGTGGGAAAAAGGAATGTTTGTTTGAACGAGAAAACAGATCTAGTGTTCACGAAACACTATTACCAACAATAATAAGAAATGTTTCTTTTCGTTTAATTAATAAATTCCTATTTGATTCTTTTGACGTGATTAGGAACTGAAATATGCAGGAAAATATTTTTTTTATCCAATATTCAATGTTGCAGTGATCGCTTAAACTCGTGATGCTGTTTTCGTAATAAGAAAAATAAGATTTCCAAATATATTCGAACAGTTTTATAGGCACATATATTCGTAATAAAAATTTTTATATTTGAGTTTATGTGAATTATATTAAATCACTGAAGAAACCTGGAAATCATTACGGTAACTTAGGTAACTAAAAAAGACAGGCCAAGCTCTCTCCCTTTGTTAGAGTGAATAATTGTCGGCTTAAGGTTCTCATCTGGTCTTGTTGGATGTGAAGCCTTATAGTCTATTATAAGTTTACCGACGTTTCGGAGTCACATAATGCTTTCTCTCTTTCTTTGCTACTTGCTTCTTCCTGGTTGTTTGCTTGGCGTATTCTTCGGCTTTGAAGATGGAAGCAGTACCTTCAACTGTAACGTCAACAAACGTCTATCAGACTTCATGACGTCACATCACAGACGACTATTACTCTTCAAAATGAGAGCGAACAAACAAATTCTAAAACGTCCTGTCAGCGCAGTGCTCCTTACAATCAGCAGCAAGTGATATACGTGTGCTCCGATTCTGTTGCAGCGCATTAGCATACACATCCAGCATTTTATGATGCTGTGGTTCCTAACTTATCGTCATCATTGTCAGCTTTTTCACAAGGTTATTTTGCTATTTTCCTAAAAGTTGCTATAACACTGCATGATTTCTATAAGAATTGGAAACTCTACATTAAATAGTATTACCGTACTTTCTTCTGATCGGTCACCATTTTGGTATTGCTGAAGAGAATTATTTAAATTCTTGCCAAGTGAGAGTATTCATCATTGACATGATGTTCTGACGGAGCTTCACGAAAATCAATTATTTTCTGAAATACTGAGGTCTGTTCCAGTACACGAACTGACCTGACTTACAAAAACACATACACGCTCATTGTTAATAGAAAATTTAATTTTGGTAAATAAAAAATCGTTAATTTCAGAAGTGAAGATGTGATCTCTGATAAATGTATAACAGTTTACTGTGTTATGACGTCAAATTTTATTGATACTGCCCTCGATGTTGAAGGATTTGAGTATAATTGCCATATCAACGGATATCTGAATATATCTGGTCCAGAATTTTCGTTACCGTAATCACACAACAACAGCTAATTCATCACTAGACTATTATGTCTGCATTGATACAGTTTCACAGCCAATCCAAATTGAAACAAATTTCTAATATCAAACAGTGTTAACTGTTACACTGAATGAAATAATTACAACAACGAAAGACATTTGTGATTAGTGTACTAAATTACCTTAGTACATTTTGTCAGAATGTTAACAAATGAAGGCATTAAAACAAAGGGCCTCTTGTAAATCCACAAATGACAGACATTCGACAATAATCCGTTTCCAATTAAATATAATGCGTTTAAAATGAACACTAAATAGCTGACTATCGTAACTCGCATGGCAAGTTGTCGGTCTATGGTCTGGTGCGAATCGGATCTAGGAGTACCACACATCAGTGTACAGATATCAGTCTGAGTTCAACAGTTATTGATAAATTTCTGTTCAATAACGTTTATAGGCATTCTGTAATAATGATCGGATAAAGAAATAGCAAAAAAATAGAAAAATAGTAAAAAATAGTAAAGAAATAGTAAAATAGTAAAAAATAGTAAATAGTAAAGAAATAGTAGAAATAGTAATACAGAGAAACGTAAGGAAATGGAAGTCACATTTACATAAATATTTGTATTTATTTGAAGATGATCTATTTCATGAATTATGAATTGCAGTAACACACTTTTCAGTCTACTTTCCTCATTTTGAAAGAAATGAAAGTAGGAGTATGAAGTTACATTGTTGTCTGTGTGTATGTTTATACGTACATCCCACCTAACAGCTTTTTAATGCTTGAATCAATCTTTATGAAACTTGGTATGTGGTATATCATACCACCTGAGGATTTTTCAACGGCGCACTTCATAAATATCCACTTCAGTAATACCAATATTACAGCATTTCAATTTTTTTTAGGCAAAATCTTAATATTGCTAGAACGTCTGTTCTTATCTTCATGAAACTTGGTGAGTATATCATATCACATAAATCCACTAAACAGTGTACATAATAAATCCAACCCATCACTAATACGAATACTTGAGTCTCTCAAATTATCTTGGTAATGGCCTAAATAGTGCATGAAAGCCTGTACCAATCTACATGATACTTGGTATGTATGTATCATGCCACCTGAAGCCATCTCCGCGGCGTGCATCATAAATTCCTCCCATCAGTAATACTAACGTTATAGTCTGTTTATTGTGGTAATTCTTTAATATTACCCGAATGCCTGAACCGAATTTCATGAGACTTGGTATGTATATCTTGTCTCCTGAGACGAACTGGACCTATTTATGAGATCCCTATCATCGGTAACACCAACATTACGGCCTTTCAAATTAATGAGGTAACACCCTCAATATTTCTTGAATTAATGAATCGATTGTCATGAAACTTGGTAAATATATGTCATGCCATCTCATAGGAATAAATCTTAATTCACTCTCATCAGTAATATCAACACTGAAGCTTCTCAGATTGTCGAGGTAATAACATTAATGTTACCTAAATGCTCTTACCAGTCTTCATGAAACTTCGTACATATATCATGCCATCTGAGGCCAGCTAAATAGGTACTTCATAAATCACTTAGATCAGTAACAGAAACACTGTGGTCTCACAAATCTTATTGTCTTACTGATTTCATTATGTTCTCTTCCTACTCGTCGTATCAGACACTGAAGTTCCAGTGAAAGGAAAGTATGCGATGAGTTCTTCCCAGAACTTCGGGGTATTTTTGAGTTCATTTTAAAATATTACGACGTAATTTGAAACAAGTAGCAACTATTTGTAGTGATATTTTCAAGAAAAAGATATATGGTACCACTGTAGCTAACAGTATGGATTGTTGGACTAAAATCTAGGAAGAAACTAAACTATTTTAATCATCCAAGTGTATTATTTCCAGCGTAAACTATTTAACGCGGCCTTCATTCCTACAATACATGCATCACATCACTGATTTTCGGTTTATACTACACAATAGGCGTACGTGTGATTCTGCACTCACGAATATAAAACCGAGAACATAAGTTTTCCGTGATATTAGATGGCACTAATATTATTAGAATGTTTATGTTCAGAAAGATATAATACGAAAATGGAAAGAAGAATCACTTGCTGGAGGAAATGTCATTTAAAACGCTGTCTCTGGGACATATATAGAAAATGGGATTGAATACAATATTATCAAGTATTTCTGGCAAGAACCAATTGCCTACTTTCCTGTCATAAGACACGGATCAAATAGTAAAGGACGCCTTCAACAATTTTTCTTTGCCGCGGGAACGTGTTTACCAAATCTTTGCGTAACAGCAATAGGGGGGATACACATACATACACAAAGACTGATGGAAAGGATTTATGAAGTACGCCGTTGAGATGGTTTCAGGTGCCGTGATATACATAGCAAGTCTCATAAAGACTGATTCAGGCATTCACAATTTGATAGTCAGGGATACACAGACAGAAAGGTGATCTCACAAGCCTATTTTTATTTTTGCTAAATTCCGAGGGGCACACGGTGGCGTAGTCGGTTGAGACACTATGCTACAAGCCAGAAGGTCGCGGTTCGAGCCCCCATGTGCTGGATTTTTTAATTGAACTAATCCTTCCAGACCCATTATGGCCCCGAAGTCGACTCAATCTCAAACAGAAATGAGTATCGGGAATCTTCCTGGGGAAGGGGGGGGGGTTAACGGGCTGCCTGTGCGTCAGGCTGACAACTATACCGCCATCTGTGAGTCGATTTTCTACATAAAATGTGGGAACCTCGACGTCTCGCAATCCTATGAGCTTTCAAGTCCTGTTACAGGGATAGTTTTACCCTTCTTAAATGCGGAAATTAGGCTAGAATCCTTGGAATTTTACTGTGGTTATGCGAATTGGAGTGATGAAATTTCGTGTTATTTCGTTAGAGGAGCTGAAAGCTGGGCGTATGAAGCTGCTGTTGGTTAGTTTCATTTCTTAGCTGCTGTGTGAGT